TTTCTCTGTTTGTTTGTTCATTATTTCTTTAAATCGTCATCAACAGTCATACTTAGATTTGACTCTGAGTTCTCTGTGATTTTTTTTTTCTTTTTCAATCCAATTCTTCTCCCGAAATTCTCCTTCTAACTTTCATCAATCCCTCTAAATTTAACGTCAAAGTTGAATGGCTAGAGTTCAAGCCTTCTAAAGATACACGGACTTGTTCTCCAATTGTTTCTTCTAGATGTGTGTGGCCTGATAGCTGCGCTCATTCAAATGGGGGCGGTGGTACTCATGATTTAGGCCTCGTTTAATAATTTAGACTGTATTAACTATTTCAGTTGGATAAGATAATTAGTCATTAAATAGTACTGATTAAATTAATCGAACATTTGATGCTCTACCAAATTAAAATGTTGACTATTTAATACAATGTTTGATATTGTGCCGATCATCATATTGTAATTATTTTTTTTACAAAATTAATTTTAAAAAGATAATTGTTGAGAAGATAAATTATAAATCTAACTTTAGTTAAAAATTTGGGTGCCTCAACTTTGATTAATTTCATCCAAAACAAAAACTTTACCTTTATACTTCCAGATTTGCCCAGACCTTTGCTTTTCACACAGAAAAGCCAAAAATTCTCCATCTTCCTCTCAACACCATTGCTTTTCACCCAACCAAATCCAAACCCAACTCATCAACCTCCACTCAAATACAACCAGAAATTGCAGTTGCTCAATCTTTACCAAAAATTGAAACTCAAAACTCAAAGCAGATTTGAAAGAGGAAACCTTACTAGCCACATTTCTTGTCGAAGTGTTGCTACTGGATTCACAACAACACCATGAATGACGGATGAGAAAGAACACGGTTAGAGAGATGAGGAGGAATGGGTTCGATTTATAGCCGATGTCAATGTGTGAGGATGAAAATGGATCTTGGGATGGGAGAAATCGGGGTTAGGCTAATGGAGAAGGAGAGGATGGTGTTCTCGGCGTCACCTGCAAGGTAGGGTGGGTAGCTAATTATTCGTTCTTCTGATGTGCATGAGACAAATTGGAGAAGGAAATAGAGAGAACGAGAGACAGGGAGGAAGCTAGAGAGAGCGTATCGCTGACCCAACTAATTATATCGAGTTTTTTGAAGGGATAAATAAGTGGGTGTGAATTGGACTAAAAGGTGCGATAAGAGAAATTGTATGAGTACTATTTAGTACACAATTACACCAAACACCCGAGATTGTATTATTTATCCTCTTCGATCCCTTATACGGGATGTCAAACGAGGTCTAACTTTAGATTTGTTTAGGGTTTTGGTTGTTTAGGGTAGTATGGGCTTAGTAAAATATTGGGTTTTTGTAGTGTGAGTTTTATAGGTGTTAGGTCTAACTTTAGATTTGTTTAGGGTTTTGGTTGTTTAGGGTAGTGTGGGCTTAGTAAAATATTGGGTTTTTGTAGTGTGAGTTTTATAGGTGTTAGTGCGGTTTGTCTTTGCTCTTTTAGACTTATGTCTTTGTTAGTGTCTCGTGTTGGTGTTGGTGTTGTATGTCCCGATGTAACCAGTAGTTTCAATGGCGGTTAGGGGCGCGAAGAATCTTTTGTATTATTTGCATTTCTATTTGGAGTCTATGCTTTTTTATGCAAAGAGTGTTCCCTTACTAAAGGTGATTCTATGCGCATAATCTCTCATGTGGTGGGTTTTATAAAACGTGATTGAATTTTTATTTTCCAAGATTGAAGTTTTTTTGACATTTGAGTGATGGACGTGTATTTTTGTTGCTTGTCGTGTTTTGTTGTATTATAAATTCGATGCCAATATGGTGGCTATTAGTTTGCCCAAATTGGCCTTCTTTTTTTCTTTGAAACCTTTTTTATTTGAGGATCCTCTAAATTTACTTCAGGATTACCTTTTACGAAAATGAGGATTTGAATATGGGACCTCAAGTGTAAGGGCAAATACTCTTAACCAATTGAGCTACAAGTCACTTGCCAAAATTACCTCTTTGAATTTTGTACATTTTCTTAAGATTATAATAAAATTGCTTATCATTTCACTAAAAAAATGAAGATTACAAATGAGTGTAACTCTCACAACCCAAATTCCACAAATTACAAACCCTAAACCAAATGAGTAGAGAACCTAAAACCAACCGAGGTGATTCTCCCAAATCGTTCTCTAACTCGTAAATTGATTCTCATGAATTGCCAAAGGAATGAGCCATGACGTTTGCTTGCACTCATGACTCGAAATGCTAACCTTCACCCCAAAACCCAATTAGAGAAAATTCTCTAAGCCAATGGCGAAGGCACACAAAATAAACTAAACCCTAAGGTCCTATTTATAATGTATAACAAAAAATTTCTACCAAACAGAAAATCCAACCAAGAAGTCAAATCCAAACCCAAATACACACCAAAATGAGATAGGTAACACAAACTTAATTTTTGCATCATTCTAATTTTAAGCCGTAATACACAACATGGACCTCGAGTGCAAGGGCGAATGCTATTAATCAACTGAGTTACAAACCACTTGCCAAAATTAACTCTTTGAATTTTGTACATTTCCTTAAGATTCTAGTAAAACTGCTTATCATTTCACATAAAAAAAGAAGGTTGTTAATTGCCCACATGAATAACCTATAAAATGATTGTGAGTATGGATTGAAATCTTTGATATTAAACATTGTAGTACAAAACTTAGAAGTCATTTGATAACTATTTCATTTTTAGTTTTTAGTTACAAAATAAGTTTTTAATTTTCATAAAAAATGAAAACAAAAACTAGTAGGTGATAAGTGGTGGATTGTCATGGTGGTTGGGGCCTTCATCAACAACTCACTAGATCCACGATTCAAACCCTCACCCCCTACCCTTAGTGTGTGTATCGCTTGCCCTGGTGGTTATGAAACGGACCCCTTAGAAAAACATGAGATATGTATCATGTGGTAAGATATAATGGCTTATGAAGATTTTGATTGATATTGTTGGACTCATACATAATTCAAATCTTATTACTCCCAAGCTCTTTAGTAATAATGAATCAAGGTATATTTTTAGTGTATTTAATCTTGTAGTTGCCAATAATCTTACGTACTTTTGCTTCATTTTCAAATTTACCCACCAGGTATGAAGGAATGTTTATAAGGGGTATCATTGCCGAGATCACGGTTGGAATAGCTTTTCCCGAGCTTCAAAGATTAGATTCTCCCGAGCTCGAAGATATCGATTCTACCGAGCACACAGATATAGCTTCTTCCGTGTCTAGCGCGAACTCTCCCTTCTCTTTGGCGCCGTTGAAAAAGAGGCGTCACGAGCCCGACAGCTCTGACAGTACCTCACGCAAGTTTTCAGAGACATGGTACGCGTCATTCACTACCAGCGCTCCTCTCACGGTTACTGAGTTGATAAAGTTTGTTGGTTTTTCCACAGTCCCGATGAACCAACCATGAAAATTGGTTCGACTATCCCAGGAAGCGAGTTGACTCGAACGATTCAACTCGGTTTTACTTAATGGACCCCGATTGTCTCGGGTCTACTGGCTATGTTGCTGGGCCATTAATTGTTGTAGCATGCGTTGACGCTAACACGATAAGATGTGCCTGGTGTATTTTAGAAATTCCACATTGGAATAGTGATTCATTGTTGTGATTTTTGGTAATTCAGGAAAGCTCTGGTGCCGGCGGATAGTCTTCCAGACGGGTATAGTTGGCGCAAGTACGGTCAAAGGGCTATGCTTAACTCGCGTTATCCAAGGCACTGAATTTAAATCTCAATCGTACATTTGCAATCGAAATGAAAATTACGAGGTTGTATGATATTATCGAACGGTAAGAATTGAATCTGATGTTTGCTTAGTTGTTTTTGTTTATCAGATCATATTACAGGTGCACATACAGAGACACGCAGGGGTGCGGGGCCACAAAACAGGTGGAGCGCGACCGGAATGATCCAGCGATGCTGGCCGTAACGTACCGAGGGGTGCACGTGTGCAAAGTGCCACGATTTGCTGGGGGATGGAACGAAATTCAAAAGAATGTAAGATTCAATTGAAGTGATTGCTTTTATATTGGAGAGTGGAAAGTTTTGAGTCAATATTCATAACAGAAAATAATTTTTCCATCAAAACGGTTGTAAGCGGTATATCAAAGCCATTGTAAGAAGCTTAAATTGTCTAGGATTTGATTCTAAACAACGTTAGACACTAATCAGGCAGGAGACTGGAGCCTAGCAACTAGGTGCCTAGGCAAGAGCCTACATGAATTTAAATGGGTTTCTATTAGAAAAATATTATTGACACTATAAAAATATCATTCTACACTCCTCACAAATATATTTTTCTTTCCGAATATAGAAAATTTGAAATACCTATAATAATTCCCTTCTTTTATTATAAAATAAGCATTAAATAATATTTACATTATTTTTTAAAGTTTAGAATCTTGAAGCGACCAATGTTCGTTTAAATTTAAAATCTCTATCGTCTATTTGGTTGCATTTCCGAAGCTTAGAGTACCACCCATTAATACTCTACAACTGTTTTTCTCCTAGTTAGGGTTTGGAGCAGCTTCACCGTGGCCTTCAGCAGCAACAGAAAGCTTCCATACAAGCTC